ATACTGAAGTTGTAACTTGTCACAGTATTCAGTGCCCAGCTATGTGTACATGTGCATTACAGTACATAGAACATGTATTAGTGGGTTCGGCATTGCTTCTGCATATGGATAGGATCAGTTTTGGAATTCTGAAGCTTGACTCCCCAGACTGATGAGTCAGAGTGGTATTATTTTTCATATGGATATTCCTATTGCATGACTTTGTCCTTTGCTTCCTCTAAGCATGCATTCCATGCAACCATTCATGACCAATTGTATCCAAGGTCAACAGATTCCAATCCTCTCCTTCCCCCCATGCCGTCGGTACATATGCTCTTTGTGAGTGCTGCTGTTTCAAGTTCAACGTGAAAGTTTGGTCATTTTCTAAGAAATCTGATAATTGGTCCTGGATGATGATGCATTTTCTGAGTTCGTCTAATATCCTGTTGTATTTGGAAGAGCTACTTGGACCGTGCCCTTGGCGCATGTCCAGCCCTTTAGTCATCTATGAAAAAGATTGTGTTGAGCATCAAGGATAGTAGCTGTCCTACGTGTAGCATAATAAAGCAGTGATGACTTTACTCCAGTAAGTGCAGTGTCTGAATTTACGGTGACTGACAATCTTTGAGTCTGGTTAGTCCAGTGACTGGTCATGTGATCTTTACAGTTTTTTTTTCTTTGAAGGCATGAAACAATGTTTCACAGACATTTTTGGCAAGGTGCCACTTGTGATAAAAGGGGCCTGTGTCTCAAAGCAAACAACTTTTGGAACTTTGCGGATCTCCTTGTGACATGCTTAGGAACAAGCAAAGATGCCAGAGAGATTAGCACTCGGGATAACACCACCTACATGTATGGAGGAAAATAACACTGCCATCTGGTGATTTTCAATATAGCAATAGACCCCAGCAGGCAAATACATGTAAGTGGTGCATAGAATTTCAAAATTAAATGAGCGTGAACATGTTGACGTACGTGTACATGTAGAGCTGTTCTAGCAGATTGCCTTCACCCTCGATCTTGCTTTCATACTTCAATTTGCAGGAAAAGACCTGAGCGATGTGGGTGTCATTTTGGCCAACGTGAACGACAATCAGTCGATGGATGCCATGTGTAAGCAGGGCAAGTTGCTACTCAACTGTGTGGGACCGGTAAGTTGGAGGAGTGGCTCCTGAAATACTTTGCGTGGCCTGTAGTGACTCGTTGCATCTGCAAAGAGTGGAGTAGGCTTCTTAATAGGCATGTGTGATTCTGTTGGTTGAACATGGGCACGTAAACAGGATCTTAGGTGAGTGTTTGCATACACGCACGTTTATTAAAGTGCCTTGAGTATCTTGCCGTTTACTCCTTGCTTTGCTTCACAATGCTTCAGCCTGGTAAAAAGTAGCTCATTTAGCTCATAGTAGCTCCCTGTAATGAATTTTGACCACTAGATTCACAAAGAGAATCTATAGAGGGATGCCAATACGATGGTTTTAGCATCGATCTGCGCACTTTCATGTTTGAAAACGAGGCTGTATGTGTCAGCTTTAACTCTTAGTATGATCAGACGATTGAAAGTAAGGAGTTGAGACACAAAATACATAAAGGTATGTTAAATTCAGACTTTTAAGCCAGCAAATTTTTGTGGAAGATTTTTTCAGGATGACTCGACACGTAAAATCAAAAGAAAAAATTACGACAATTGACCGCAACTAACGCACCTGCGATGGTCGTGTATTCTTGTGCAGTGGGCGTGGTTTAAACTGAAGTGGCGTCACACTTTGAACCGGATACCCCATGTACTGTGTGGACTCTGCGGGTGCGCGCGACGAAGTTCAACTCAGAGAGCCTCGGTTTCGATGCAGATATGCGCAAGACGGCGCTAATGTGAAATCCCTCTATAGTTTAATTTTGGCAACCAGAATAAGTAGCCATTACTGCAGTGGCACAATGCTCATGGACAGGTGGTGCATGCATTTTAGGCCTCTTTAACCATTAGGGTATCTTGATTTGACACATGCACACATACATGTATGTCAAGTTTAAGAATTGGATGCATGTTTATGGTGCCTTGTTGGGTATCAGAACAATAGGAGGTACCCCGTAAGGAACATTCATTGTCCCTTTGGGGTACTGAAGTGGAACCAGACAAGAATTCCATGAAGTAGATTTGGGGAATATCAGTGAATCAGTCAGGCAACATTTATTTTCATAATGCTGAAACATTCCAATACAATACAACAGAATAAATTAAATATACATGTAGTTAACATTATACACGTCGATATATTTGGGAGAAGAGACAATAAAGTCATCTGCTATTACGGGGGCATCTTCCGAAGCGGGGGGCTTATATGGAGATGCCTTGACAAAAACTAAAACAGAACATTTAACAGTGACAAAATAATAATTGGACAAACAAAAATACCAGTACAATGTACATGGGATAAAAGTGAGCATCAAGGGATGGAAAAATAAATGAAGCCATGTAAAATGAACTCATGTGACTAGTCAAAAGAAGAAAAATTAAGAGAAAGATGATGAAGGGCAATGCAGTAGTTATTACATCAGCCAATAAACAGCAGGTTCATTACAATCGCATGCAGTATAAGGCAATGAAAACAGTTTGAAAACAAATGGCAGAGATGATGTGAAGAAATTGTAGATGAATCATGAGACATTTGGCATGACATATAAACATGCCAAAATAAGGTATTGAGACAATCACAATCAGTGCCACTGCAGTTACAACATCTCCTTGGTTAAGTTCATAACTTGAAGCTCTTGTAACCCTAACTTCTGAGGAAGTTTGGAATGGAACCTCCTTGAAACAATTCAATATCCCAGATGGAGGGTGCTATGTTAACCCAGCAGCAGTGTTCTTATGGGCCAACTTACTGTTTTGCACGAAGTGGTACGTGACAAAAGACAGTACAGGGGGCCGGTCGTTGTGACAGTGTTACCCCTATGGTTTCTAACTTTCTGCGAGTTCTTCAACTCCCATAAATAGTTTATACTTTTTGAAAAGGCATGCTGGCTTCAGTTTGAATGAAACCGTAAAGAACTTCATGTTGTTACATGTACAAAGTTGTTACTTCCTTTGTACAGTCAAGACAGGTTGGTCAGAGCAAATATACCTGCGAGTTTTGACAATAAAATGGCACTGAGTTTTAATTCCAAACCGAAACCACTCTCTGATCCAATCCAATTCTAGTCTCCGCATACATTTGAAACACGTTGCCCAGTGCTCAAGGCATGGCAAAAATTTATTATTTTGAAAACACTGCTAATGTGATGATAAGTTACATGTACTAGCCCCCTTGACTATGTTTTGTGCCATTTGTGTTTTGAGTTAAAGCTTGAACATGTTGAAGGATCTCAGTGTGGGTGTCTAGTGCATGACTGATATGTCTCCCTTCCGCTGATGAGAGAGTACTTATGCTCAAAGCTCATTGGCTTGGATTTACACCGTGGTTGAAGTTCTTTTTGAATTTCCATGTTAAGATGATACACTGATAGATCCTCTTCCTCTTTTGGCAGTTAGGAATAATTTTTAGATGGAAAAAAGATCACGTGTAAAATAAATACTGATGTGATTTGTGGAGTTCTTTTGGGGGGTTCATAAATGCGTTCACTTGTGTTATCATAACAACTTCATGACTTACTATCAGGCTTTGACTCATTGTATCAAGATGCTCTATGTAACACAAATTGTCATGTTTATTATGAACTAACCCAAGCTATATTTGTTTTCCAGGCCAGTCCGTTGATAATAGTTAGGAGAGATAATGTTACAACACAAGTATTGTTCACAAGAGATGTCTAGACATGATATCCTGAAGTGTTTCTATTGTGAAGTGCCAGACAAGAAGTCAATAGAAATTAAAGAGTTTGTCCAGGATTTCATGAAAAACATAAAAATGGACATTTAGATGCTAGGCTTAAAAATGACATGTACATATACATGTATTTACCATGTATGTATCATTTCTGATTGATGTTGATACATGTATGTGCACCTCTTATGTGTGGTCTTTTTAAATGAGATGAGTTATTTCTAACATTTATAATGCACAAATTGTCTGTTGCTAATGTCAAGAACAGCCCTGAGTCTGATACATTAGTCAGTTATGAATATGAAATCCATTTGAAAATAACTCCTTCACTGTCTTCCTGTTTCCATAGTACCGTTTCTATGGTGAGCAGGTTGTCAGGGCTTGCATCGAGAATGGGTGCCACCACGTCGACATCAGTGGAGAGCCACAGGTAATCACAAAAATGCACCATGACACAAACGTGTTCAACACAAGTAGAACGACTTAAGCATCTCTCTTGAGAGACTATCAAAGATGCTTTTGACGTTGTTTTGGTCTACACATTTGTATGCAGACGAGAAGTTCTTACACACATGTATATTGTTTATTGCACGTTGGTTTGGTTAAATTGACACAACCATCGCTGAAAATGGTACTGGTCTGTCTGACTGTATTGCACTGTGGTATCCATAAGGAAGTGACCTGAATAAGCCTTTTGAGAGTTACCTTTGAATAAAATCTGGTATTCTGAGTTCTTTAAATTCACAGGAACATAACAAATTGGATTCTCCATACTAACAACACTGTTGCTGTACCTTGTGATTCGGGGCAAGCTTTTGCTTAGTTACATAACAATACACTATTCTCAATGGAAAATAAGGGCACAAAGGAACCAGTCCATTCCAGAGATGGTGGTCGCTATGCAAAAGCTTGCCCCGAATCACGAGGTATAGCAACAGCATCTTTGGTCTGGGAAATAAACATTGTTTCGTTTGTGTGCAATCAAATACATGTAACTCAGTGTACCATATTTTATTCAAATTTACCGTAACTCACAAATTGCTTATTTGATCCCTCTCCACTAGGAGAAGATACATGTATCTGCAGGACTGAGGAAGTTAGAGCCCAGTGACTTACCCATTGTAGCGATTGATTAAAGGGGCAATGGAGTTTTGGATGATCAACAGTTAAAAATTGCCATTGCCATTGCCAAAGACACAAAATTGCTCATGAAAGTCTTAATGGGGAATCAAGACCAACTGGTCAAAATATGGGTAAAAAAATACATGTTTTGATGACAAATGTATTTGTTTCTTTATTAGCAAATGCAAGATGTTTAGAAAATCTGCATTTGTATTTACTGGCAAGTTACCAAAGACCTTGCAGGTTTTTTAGATTTGTATGGGATTTAATGATTATACATCTACATCTAGTAACTGAAGTAAAGAAATAAATAAATGAATAAAATAAATAGATAACTTGCATGAATCATGCTTTATGCTAAATAATATATTCATTGACAAGCAGTATAAGTGCGGTAAATGTAACGTACCACTTCATTCCTTACGTTTGAAAGAATGGATAATTGCTTTTACTCAATGTAGGACATACTAATACCAACACACGCAGCAATTCGGAATGCACTGTAATTGATTCCAAGTCATACATGGATTGTGAGGTAGACTGTAAACAAACATTAGGTGGTCATTGCTCATACTTGATAAGGACATACTTGATAAGTGTGTCTCTGCATAGATTAGGAGTTGCCATTAAAAATAGGAGTATAATTGGCTTTTCATCTTGGTGTTCCTGTTGGCTTCAATTGATTGATTAACAGTAGAACTTACATTGATATTGTAGCCTGTGAAATTTGACACTGAATATAAAGCCGTACTCACAGCCATGGGTGTAAATCCTGGGGGATGGGGGTATATATCCCTCCTCCCACTTTTTACCCGGGGGGGAGGGGAATGGGCTATTGAATCATCCCACCCTCTTTTTCTGGGTGAGAAAAATTAAAACAGATTAATAAGAATTTTTGGACTTTCCAACAACCAAAATGTGTTCAATATTACCCAGAAAGGGAGAACAATTTTTAAAGAAAAGGCATAAGTATGCCGTTCTGATGTACATGTACAATCCGGCATGAATGTAATACATATTACAGCTGTACATGTGTATACATAATGAATATCACATCCTATGTAGCGTCATATGGTGGTGAAACTTTTTCATCATTTAATAGTATCCAAGCTTCTAGGACCAGCTTGATGTCAGTCACAGGGGACACTTCAACTTCTCTGTTTCTCAGTTAAAACTGTAAACCCCCCAAAAATTGTTGATGAAATACGGTACAGAATAATAAATCACCAAATCGAAGAAATTCAAGACAGCAAAGTGTCAAAACTTCCTGCGGGGTTTGTGTGCAAATCAATGGCAAAGTGGAGTCACAGTATCTCCCTAGGATGACATCACAGTTTTGCTCATGAATATGGAAATTCACATGCACATAAAAACCCTCCAGGCATCACAATACCCTGTTAAGGTATCAAAGAACAAATATTGTAAGTAGAGTTGGTTGAAACACAAAAGTGTAGTTTCAAGGGCTTTAGTGAAATAATTGTATCGCTTGGACCCATTAAATCAACATTACATCATCTCCTGCCATAGTTACGTTCAGTGGCTGGATATTCTGCTGTGTATAATTAGGACCTTTGATGTGTAGAATGAAAAGTGTAGACAGTGACATTTGACATCGCAGGATGGCATGTGCTCTGTGGCACGTACAGGCTTCCTGACAGGGTCACAAGTCCAGACAGATGTCGGGCTCAATGAAGGCGACAAATTATTAACAAAGAGATGCCGCATTGATCAGGAACCATGAGAAAGCGGAAAATTGTTTCATTCGGTTCTGCACATGCATCTGATATGACATTCAGGGCAGCCAAGCAGCCACCCATATACATAATTTACATATGGATTGAACATTGCTGAAGGCCAGGGACGCGTTGGCTTCCCAAATCCAGCAGTTCACAAAGACAGTGCATCTTCTTGTCAGAAAGGTCTGCTTACCTGCTTCGTAGATTTTTAACTGTAAACACTAGCAGTCCTCAATCCACCAAATGTAAAGCTACTTGTTTCATACCCTAGGGTTTAATAGGCTTGATCACCACACCAACTCAGACCATGTGTTATATTGCAGCTCTTCACAGGCTGCGTTCCTTGACATTTGTGGATTGTATGGTAGGAGAAGGTTGTCTCTGGTTATCTTGTTCGTGAACATATAAATGTGGAGATAAATGTTGCAAATTGTAAAGTCAGACCAATAAAATGTGAGTGATCTCTCTTCAGTTTCATTGGCTGTCCATACATGTAGTTTAAAGGCAGCCCATTATGTAATGTATGTATAAGTACTTCAAAAATGGCCTGGAAAAGATGTGTATGTACTGTGTAGTAATGAAAAATCAAAGCACCGGTAGACATTGCCTCTTTTGAGCCCATGACAGTGGATTCAAGTTTTAGTGAACCATAGTTCAACTCTGGTTTTTAAGTGTTAGACCTGTGTGCTTTGTTCCCCTGCTTATGGATTTATATATTGATTTCTTTTCCCATTGCATCTTCCGCTGCAGTTCCTGGAAGGCATCCAACTGAACTATAACGAGAAAGCCAAAGAGAATAATGTGATTGTCATCGGGGCCTGTGGCTTTGATAGCATCCCTGCTGATATGTCAGTAGTCTTTACCAAAAAGAAGTTTCCAGGTACAAACCTATGCTGTAGTCTTTTGTAAACTCTATTCCTTCTCGAAAATCAGTTGAAAATGTTTTTACCTCTTCATGTTGTGTGACATCTAAACAGGAAATCCCTGTGTCAAAAACACGGACGCCTTTAAGCATATTCCTTTGAAGTCTGTTTGTAATACAATGTATCACAAGATTACTTCTCATCCTCACGCGTGAGTGATTCCAAGTAGCCTTTCTAAGGGTGGGGGGGGTACAGAAGGAAGGCACTGTTGGAATGGGTACATGGTAAATGCAACAGATTTTATCTAAACCAAATAGCGCCCTCCTCTTGTGTCCACCATACCTCAAATAGGCCAAATGAGTTTGTACACACACACAGGCTTGAAACAGTTGGAGGTTGAGTTCGGTATGTGTGCTACTTTCAAGCGGCCATTGGCCACGGCCAGTCATTATACCAAATCACTCTGCAACTTAGTCTCGAAGTGTTTAAAAAACGACAAGGCGATGAGAAGTGTCAAATCCTGAACAAGTAACCACCAAGGGTTAGCATTTGCAAAGCCTACTTTGTAGAAGACTGTGGTTGTGGTATCTTGTCATTTAACAAAGGCAGTGTTTTTGGTTGAAAACAATGTTCCTGGGATGAGTGGAATGTGGAATGAACCGTTGGCAAGTGGTAAACGAGAACTTAAATTATGCAGATATGTCATGAAAAGTAAAATGCCCATTACTTATGTAACAAGATCCCCATTAGCCTATTATTAGGTACTTGCAATCTTTATCTGCATTAGAAGAGCTAACTAAGCTCTCTATTTTTATGTATCACTTGGTTTTTGCATCCTGAGGAAAGTCAACATTATGTGGGTGAAAAATGTTTGGGGTTATTGATGTGCAGTGTGCTAAATTCTTATAAAGGCCTTTAACTCAAAAGTGGCATTGGCGACTTTCATCTTATTTTCTTGGGTTCTTGGGTCACATTATTGTTTTTGAAGAAGCCAAACACAAATTGTTCTTACAGTTAATAGGCAAAGAAAGTATTAATGGCCAGTTGACGGATTTTGCGACAATCATGTGCTTGATTATTCGCTGTTTTTCCCACTTGTGTTTCAGGGGTTTTGAATATAGTAGAAAGCTTCATGGCAATTCAGACCGGTCCAAAGGTGAGTTGTAGAAATCTGCAGTTTATTTGAAAGCTTCAAATTTGTTTGTTTTCTCTCATTTCTGCTTCACCCA